GTGAACCAACATTTACCTAGGAGTTGAGAGAATGGCTCCCAAGTGTTTAAAATTGTGTTTGAATCTCTTTGAATGTATTTGAGAAACGATGCTTTTCCTCTCCCACCTGATTAAGATCCTCCTGCAACTGGGATCATGTCTATTCCTCCTGGACTTTTTGGGTTGGTAGGAAAAGTCATCTGGTGACTTGTTCCCTCATGCTACAGGGGATAAGCATTGGCAGGTGGGTACTTCCCATTCAGGAAGCACCATTTCCATAATTAATCTTCTGACATGGCTAGCAAATAATGTTATTCTTCCACAATCATTTAGTTTTTGCTGATACACAGCTCTGTTTTCTAGGCTCTCTGTGCTACTATTTCACAAATCATAGCTGCTCTATCCTAAATCCAAGATTTGGGGCAATAAATAAAAAGTTTGCAATGGATTTAAGTATTGAGCCAAAGACAGGAAGGAACTGTTCTTTGAAGGCAGCACAGAGAATAGGCCTGAATTTGAATCCTGGCTCTGCTCTGTGACCTTGAGTATATTATGGTACTTCTTTGAGATTCAAATTTCTTATTTTAATATAGGGATAATGATATTACTTGTCTCTCAGGGTTGGCACGAGAATTAACTGAAGTAAAAAAGAAAAGAGCTTATCAAAGTGTTTGGTACATACTAGGAATACAAATGGCAAATAAAAACAGACAACCACCTTCCCTCTCCCCCAGCACTTGACTATCCCAGGCAATAACTAACAGAGATGAGACACAATGGAAAAATAGACATAAACAGACATTTTGCTAGTTTGAGATTATTGTATAAATAGAATCATATTGTATATTAAAATTGTATATTAAAAAGGCAAATACAACAAGTAGTATGAATGTATTTTGCTCTTACTATCACAATTACTCTTCCTCTGAATATCCCTACTTACTGTTTAGATCTCACTCCCTTTACTAATAGGATTCATAAGCTAGTAGATATAGTGAGGCTAATTATGCTTGTAGGGTGTAGTAATAGAATTCATGTATAGCAATGAAATAATAATCTGAAAACTGAAAGCCCAGTTAATTGCCTAGGGAACTTTTTTTTTTTTTTTTTTTTTTTATTTATTTGTTTGTTTTGTTGGTTGGTTATACATGCACTGGGTACAGTCAGAAGCGCGGGAGGGTGAGAGAATTCACCAGAGCCAGAGCGGGGAGCAGAGCAGGCAGAAGGACAGAAGTACACTGCGGAGGGGAGCAGCGGGCGGCAGGAGAGGTCTGCGCGCCATGTGGGACCCTCCTCCTGTGGCCGGGGAGCAGCCGGGGATCGAACCGGCGCCGCAGAGGCCGCGGGCAGCTTCGCAACCCAGCGCTCAACCGCTGCGCCACCGGGGAGGCCCTGCCTAGGGAACTTTTTGTTGCCAAGTAACCAAACAGACTTTTTTCTTTTCTGCCATTTAACTGTGTGAGGTCACTTTGTCCAAGCTGACCACAAAGCAAATTGCATGTGAAGAAATCCACTGTTTTGGCATTGGACATTCAGGAGAAGTAGTCTGAGTCATGTTTTTGGAGGATTATTTTAATTGACTTGTTTTGCATGGTGTGCTATGATCCTTGGTGGCTGGGTTGGGGCAACATCCAAGTCATTGGGGAGCTCTAATAAAGATCTAGATCCCTTGGCACCATTCCAGGAGATTTGTCTTCAGTAAACGTAGGGTTGAGAATTTGTATACAAGTTTCCCAGCAATTCTAACATTCATTCAGGTCTGGGAACTGCCTATGATGCAATCATTTCGTGATGGCATGGAGGTGGCACAAATACTAGAAAGCTCTTGCTTGTGAGCAAATAAATAACCTCCAGTTATAACAAGTTTGTTTTCTTTCTGTTTAAAATATATATTTGTGACTATTCAGGAGCAGAAAAATGTTTTTATTATCCAAATCAAAACACAGCATGAGGTACTTTCCAATAAAATCAACTGTAGATTATACACAAGTCAAAATCATCTGCGTGTTTACTGAGTTCAAAATCCTTCCAGGCACCAGGAAAAAGTTTAATTTAAGATTTTAATCTTTCCACATATTATAGGGTTTCTGTAATGGATTTTGTGCATCTGAAACTAAAAGATTGACAGGTCTGAGTATTATAGATTTATTAACCATTGGTTACGTGGTCAGAGTTAGTATGTGAAATATTTCTATGATATCTCCCTATGCTGGGCTACAGTAAAGAATTTCTACAAAGCCTGAAGAATAGAAGAGAAAGGGGTACATTAAAAAAGGAAAAGTTGTGTTTTATTCCACAATGATTCTTCACTAAATGGAAATATTGTTCATTGAACATAAGCATATGGCGTGGCATTCAATGAAAAGGTGACAAAATGATGGGCATTTTGAAAGAAATCTTAAAAATTGAGTAACGCAATCCTGCAGTACCCATTTTTATCATTCTGAAATTGGAAAGCCTGGGATCTAGCAAATGCTGGAGCAAATACATTGTCAAATGAACAATTAAAGGTAAAAGTCATCACCCCTGAATAACCATCACTAGCTATAGAACATCTACTGGAAACAGATAATGTATTCCCATTATATAAATGACTTCTTTTCATCTTTCCAACAACCCCACATGTGGATTCTATCATTATCTCCATTTTACAGATGGAGATAACCAAGACTCAGAGGGAAAAGCTGAGCTAATATGTGTTACTACTGGGATAAAAAGCCTGGTTTTCTCATCTTACTTTGTTTGTCTTAAAAGAAAGAGGTTTTCAAATCCTTACTGAGTGTGAAGTGTCCACATTAGCAATGACAATTTATGGGTTTAATAGTGTTAAACTGACAGGTAGACTTCCTGGTCACATGGATAGGAAATCAACATTGCTGATGAGTCTGGACTTTCCCTTATTATTATTTAAGAATTTGTATTGCTGGAGACCTGGACTGATTCTGAGAAATCTACAGTCAATAGGCTGAAACTGGTCTCAGAATGACAATGTTTTGCCTCATTTTACTTTGCAGAGCAAAAAGACTACTACACTAAATGCATGCCAAAGAGAAATCTACTAAAAGGTCACAAGATAACAATGTTATTTCATAAAAGTAGAAATTGGTTCCTTAGGGGGATGTGTAAGTTTGAATATTTACCCCAGAGAAGAATTGAGTTTTTGATATTAAGATACTAAGAACAGCACACAAAAATATCTATTCTCCTAAAGTCTAGAAGAAAGGCAGTACTTTGTCATACATGCTGCACTAGCAATTATTCCTGCATCTTTGTTAAATTTAAGATGTTGTAGGGCCTCCCTGGTGGTGCAAGGGGTTAAGCACAGCACTGTGAAGCTATCTGCAGCCTCTGTGGCACGAGTTAGATTCCACGCCTGCCAGGGAGCTACCCACATGGCGCAGCAGACCTCTCCTGACTCGTCCGCTGCTCCCCTCAGTAGTGTATTTCAGTAGATTCACCTGTTCTGCTCCCCACTTTCTCTGGTGAATACTCTCACCGCCCACACCTCTGGCCTGTACCTCAGTTCTTGGATGCATAAATAAATCTTAAAAAAATAAATTTAAGATGTTGCATATTTATTTTGAAACAAAGATGGATAAAATCATTTATATTTAATATCTTAGAGCAACTTAAATTTTTCTTTGCTTATCAAGCTCTTGAGAGCTTTTCTTCTGTTTGACCAAAATGCTTTTGTCTTTGATCGTGGATTATGACATCAGAAGGATGATGGCTTATGAGAACTTAGGTTTTATATATTAGGCTTTGAATTATCTTTATGGCTATATTACCTGTTTTGATGGTCCAAAATAGTAATTAACCAATTATTTTCAGTTTTTCTTTGAACTGTGGCCAAACATATTCTGATAGGGACAATGGGGGTTTATTTCTATTTCATTATAAGATTAAATGAAAAAATAAAATCATATTTCTGAAGGGTATTTGACACCTTAATCAGTTTTAAACTTTAATGAAACAAAGACTATCTGTATATGGTCCTTATTTTAAATGACAGAGCCAGCAGATTTCACTGTAATCCTCCTCCATAGGGCCTCCCCCGGTGGCACAGCGGTTGAACGCCAGGCTGCGAAGCTGCCTGCAGCCTCTGCACCGCTGGTTTGATCCCTGGCCACAGGGCGAGGGTCCCACATGGCGCGAAAGACCTCTCCTGCCATGCCTGCTCCTCCCCTCAGCAGTGTATTTATCTCTTCAGTCTGCCTGTTCTGTTCCCTGCTCTGCTCTGGTGAATTCTCTCACCCTCCCGAGCTTCTGACTGTACCCAGTGCTTGTATAAATAAATAAATAAATCTTAAAACAAACAAACAAACAAATAAATAAATCTTTAAAAAAATATCCTCCTCCACAGTGTGAATACAATCAGGATTTACCCTAGCATGATGCTGGCATCAACATATAATAATGCACTATACCTCAAAAGCAACCCACTGGCGACAAATGGCTCGCTGGAGGCAATTAAGCCTCCATTGAATTAAGCTTAAACAAGTAAAGTTCAGCTGCCCAACCCAGTCACAACACAAGACTCATGGGTAGAGTGGGCTATCATCCTTCTGAGAACCCCCCTCACTGATATAATACAGAGGGGATGATATAGGCCAATGACTCAATCGAGGGAGTCCCATAGAAATAAAAGTTCGAGACTCTTCAGATCCATATGACTTACCTCGGATATATATCAATAAGAAGGCAGGTTTGAAGGCTCTGCTTCTTGAAAGAAAGTATTGTGCTAGAAAAGTATATACATATCTAAACAGCTTTATCTACATCACTCTCTACATTACACTGCATTTGTCTATATGCCGGAAGTGCACATGCTTATGCATTATACACTCAGGAATGGGTTTGGATAATTTTTTGTTTATATTTATTCAGGAGACAGAGTATGTCCTGATTTAATAAATTCACATTTCCAACTATATCTCTAGTGAATTTCCTCTAAGATGTTTCACACATACACACACACGCACGCGCATGCACACACAGACATCTGCATTTTATTTCTTTACCTGGTGAATTCCAGGCCACAAATATGGAGTAAGGTCCAATTACTGTGATATTATATGGCGGTTGGATTTCTTTAGGGGTGTGCATAGGTGTTTCCACAATATAACCATCTTTGGGACTGCTACCACTTCCAGTTGAGGCTTCCAACTTGTAAATGTATCTGTATTTAAAAAAGGAACAATCATGATAAATCAATGCACAGGAGACTTGAACAATGACTGCTGGCTTTTCTATCCATTGCTTAGTCCTAAATTTGTAACAAATTTAAAATCTTTGCTCCCTGCTCAGAAGCTTTGCCCCAAACTTGTAACTTCACAGGCACAAACTTTATTGCTCAAGTCAGTTTCTGCTGTACCTCATTTTATTTTTAACACTATTAGTTTGTAGCTTTTCTTGAAGATTGCTGGAAAGTCTTGCAGGATGCTGGTGGATTGTGGAGTGGAGGGTTCAAATGAATCTTCATTTCTAAATAGGCTGGAGTTCAGGACAATGTGTTTAGAGGAAGATGTTTCTAAATTGATCTGCTACTCTCTACAATAAAACTAAATTGATCTCTGCTCTCTGCAATAAAACATCTGTTGATCTAAAATGTATTTTGTCTCTGCTGAGAAATGAATGGGAATGAATTGCAAATATGTGAAACTTTCCCCCTTAAAACCACTCATGTCTATATATAGTGAGGCAAATAGAGAAAACATTATGCCAGACGCAAAGGTAGCTGATGTTAAACAAAACTCTTTAAATCTCTTTTATAGCTAGTTTAGAAATGCATGTTTTTGCAAGTAATCTGATCATTTTTTAAAGTTAGATACTTTGTATGTTTTATATGTTTAAAAATTCTCATACTTTCATGTCAAATAGAAAATCAATTATTCAAATGTTTAAGGAATTTCACGTATTCTGAAGAGTAATGTAATTATTTAGTACTTAGGACTCCAATGTCTGAAATGGATTAAAACGACTCATCAGCAAAGGAGTGGTTTATGAATGAATACACAAACCAATTTATTCACTATTATTTCAGTTGAAGCACACTCTTTTTCACCCCTGAAGTATCTAACTCTATGATTGGAAAGGTTTTCGTTGAGTTTACCGGCTGTCGGGCTTTAGGTTTTTATCAGTGAAGTTTTGGTCCTCACTATCTCCCAGAAAAACTGAGGTTCCATTACTACTCCACTGGTGTTGAGCAAAGAGGCCACTGGGCTTTTCAAGCGGACTCCAATGTAACTCCGCTGTTGTAGAATTGATGATGATGTGTCTGGGCGTCATCCAAACTCCTGGTAATAATAACACAATAAAGGTTTATTGTTAGAAGAAAATAGCCACCTTAGCAGCACCACACAGACTGTGATATTTTCAATTTGTTGTTAAAAAATCTCAAAGTGAGCAAGACAAAATAACCTCTTTTTTTACTTTGAAGATGAAATAGATAATTGGGTATAAATGCATTTTTTAATGCTTTATTTTCTTTTTGTATGACATACACAGTGGAATATTATTCAGCTATAATAAAAGGTGGAATTCTGCCATTAGCAAAACCTTCTAGATGGGTCTAGAGGGTATTACATTTGTGAAATCAGCCTGATGAAGAAAGGCAAACAGAGTATGATTTCACTTACATGGGTATATGAGAAAACAAGCAACAGATGAACTAAAAAACAACAACAACAACATAACAAAAATAACCTTTTGCACTCTAAGATTAAATCAGTAGTTACCCTAAGGGAAGGGGAGATGGAATTGGTACACTAGTTAAAAGGGGTCAATGGTATGATGAAGGGTAGGAATCGACTTTCAGTGGTGACCTTTTTTGATGAGTCCTTTTAATCCATTTCAGACATTGGAATCCTAAGTACTAAAGAATTACATTAGTCTTTGGAATACACGAAATTCCTTAAACATCTAAAAAGTTGATTTTCTATTTGACACAGACTAATTCTCAGCAGTGAACACCTGAAACTTATATAATGTTCTAATGATCAAAACTTAAAACATACAAAACACAACTCTTAATTTTCCTTCTTCCAATCTATTCATCTCCCAGCCTATGCCTTTTCTTGTACAAAACAACAAGAAAAAAAGGGTCTTTGAAGCTTTTAGTATTCTTATCTCTAAATGTAATCTATCATGAATCTTGCAGATTTTACTCTGAATATCATTCTGTATATCTTTATGAACCAGGTGTCATTCCTTTCTCTTATGGACTTCTGTTTGCCCCTCTAAATTGGTCTCTATGTTTTGAATGTTGCCTTTTTCTATATCATATTAATTTTTATAAAAATATGTAATGTATATATGTAAGCTAGCATGATATTTATAAAACATACAGCCCCTTTGAATTTATTCATATAATGATTCCAGTACCTTATGATTGATGGTTCTATGTTTTTCAGGGCTGTGATACCATTGTCTTCAATACCGATGAAGCTTCAGCCACATCAGACTCTTTTCCTAGAATGCTTTAAGCTCTTTCCTATATCCAGGCTTCTGCACTTCCACTGTATGGAACACTTTTACTCATGACAACATGGCATTTTTGTATCTTACTCTCATAGATTAATTTGCTTGCAAATAACACCTCATCAGGGAGGTCTTATTTGACCACCTTCCCTAAATATAATGTCAGCCCTACCCAAAGGGATCCCAAAAGAGTTCCTCTTGGTAATATGCCCTTTTCTATTCCTTCTTAACATCAGTGACATCATAAACATCTGTCTTTGATATTGCCTTTATTTTTATGTTATGACTGTATGGTCTGCTCCTTTCTCCTGTTTTAATATAAAGTCAACTCCATGAGGTTTGGGACAGTCTTTGTCTTATTTGTTAGTGTATCTTTATGCATAGCACATACCTAATAAATGTTGAATGAATACATTTACTGTAAATATAACTGCTAAAAATTACTATGTGAAGTACTATAGGCAGTTCTAGGGAATGCAAAGATGTGGCTCATTCTTTCAAGGAGTTTGTCATGGCAGATAAAAGATAAATATGTACACAAAAAACTGTCATTCAAGGTTAAACTTTCAAGTACTTTATAGGTACACAAACATATTGGTGGAGAACCTGAGGATGAATAAGCTCAAGCCTACCATTCCCTACTGTCATCTAGGTACTCTGTGTGCAGACATTATAACACTCCAGCTTTTAAAAACTCACTTCAGTACTAGGCTTCCCTAACCAATAGTTTTTGGTTGATTGTATCTCCTATGTAAGTTACAAAGTAAAAGGTTACAGTTTCAACAGTTTTATAACAAAAAATTTGAGGACCTTCAAATTTATCAGCATCCCAAAAGGAATAAAGACAGATTTCCAAATGGCTCAAATTTAGTGATTTTTTTAGGAACAACTTATTTCTCAGAAGCAAGTAGTCCACTTTGTTCTGAAAGCTCTTCTCTGTTAGGCACATAGAAAAATCCACAAATCATGGTATATATTTATATCTGGGTTTCTCTGCCAACAGCTGCTAGATGACTTACCTAACTAATTAGAATTTTGACTTAAGGATGACATTAATTTGTTGATTTCAGTGATAAAGTATAAAGTCTTCACTCATAATCTGCTTCCTGCAGTCATGTTATTTTCACCTTGAAGGTTGCATTAAAAATCACCAAGATACTAACAAGGAAGACTATTGCTTAATTTTCAATTTGAACGAGTCAATACTGCCCCTGGACATGGAAGAGCTGATGAAAAAAGAAGACCTAAATAAGGGACCAGGAAAAAGACTAATTATAATAAAGTAAAAATCAAAATCAACAAGCAATTATAAACCAGAGACACACTATGGGGGTGGGAGGTAAGGAGGGGTTAGGTCAAAATAAGGGGGTGGAGGATTGTATGGGGATTATAACCCAGATGACAATGCCATACATTGTGCAAAAATGAAAAATGATGTAAAAATCATAAAATTAAAAAAAGCAACATTTTGGGCTTGCTTCAATTTTTCAACAAAAGTTGAGTTGCATGTATATAGAAGCTGGTGTCAGCTCTGTTGATAACAATTCTGAGTCCATCGGTGATTGATAGCATGAATTTGAAATGTATAAAGCATGAGTAAGTGCAGTGGTTTTACTTGCATAATGATATAGAGACACTGTTATCTTGGTAGTCACAAGAAATCTTTACAAGAGTAAAAGCCACCTTTGGTGAGATGCCTAATTATGTCCCCGGGGGAGAATGTGCCCTGCCCCCAGTTTTTCTTTGGTTGCATCAGAAAACCTGTTTTATATAATGGAAGGGGAGAGTTGAGGCAGTTCAAGGGAAAGAAATAGATGGTCCTGAGGGAAGTAACCTAGAAGGGGGTTGGGAGGTAGAGTAAGAGCAGGTAAACTTGCTGAGAGGTATCAGAGGGGAAGTTCAGAAGGAAATCTAAGTGGATCTCTTGCAATAATAGCTTCCCAATAAAAGGTAACATGTCTACTGGGTGTGTTTAAATTTATCTTGAGTGTCATGTAATATGACCCACTTCTCATGTCCTTATACATTTTCATTCCAATAGAAGAAAAAAAAATGGGCTTCCCTGGCGCGTAAGCACTGTGAAGCTGTCCGCAGCCACCGTAGCATGAGTTCGCTCCCAGGCTGGCCAGGGAGCTACCCACATGGCGCAGCAGACCTCTCCTGTCTTGCCCGCTGCTCCCCTCAGCAGTGTATTTCAGTCAGTCTGCCTGTTGTGTTCCCCGCTCTGTCTCAGGTGAATCCTCTGATCTCCCCGCCCCACACCTCTGGCCTATACCCCAGCTCTTGTGTGCATAAATAAATCAATCTTTAAAAAAAAATCAACATTTATCATGGATTAACTTTCTCCTGAATGCTGGTGGAATTAATGGATGTCAGGAATGCGTTAACTTCTGGACCATTAACTATTTGTTAATTTTTTTCATCTGACACTATGCAATTGTGTTAGGTATTGTTGACGTTGGACGAGAATATAATTCTTACCCATCAATGCCCCCATAACATCCTAGTGGATAAAGATGAATAAATACATATTTATCTACCAAGCTGCAGTCTGAATTTGTATTTTCCTCATAGAAAAGGGAAACACAGTATTCTATTCAAACTCTTAAGACACTGGTAGGAAGACTGAGATGAATGGCAGTGGAGGTGGTCAGAGGGGAGACTGCCAGAAGTGGAAATCTGTGGGCTATGTCTTGAAAAAGTGGGAGCTCACTCAGTGAGGATGGAGGGGAAGGAAACCTAGCCGAAGTCCTGGAGTTAGGGGAAGCTTGCTGGAATGAGAATTACCTCACTGTGGCTGGTACATTAAATGTTTCTGGGAACAACCTGAAGACTTGACAGTTATCAGACAGAAGTTAAAACTTGAGGGCTCTATTTTGTTTTACTAAGAAGATGTCAATTTTTTCTTTTTTAAGAAGAAAGTAGGATTTCATGGAGGTGACTGACTATATGCTTATTTTGGTAAAAGGGGAAGATGAATTGGGATGGGGATTTGAGGGACAGAAAGAATGACTAGAAGTAGGGACATTGCTTGGGATTCAGGGAAAATATAGGGGTTTGAACTCAGGCAATACCAGAAAGAAAGGGAGAACACAGGAAAAATATCCTTAAGATTAAAATTAATAAAATAATATTTTCTTTTATAACTAATATTAATGTCTAAAATATTAATAAGATATTATCAAGAATGATAGTGCAATCTAAGTACAATCCAAGGAAAAGAGAATTAATGAGAACGTCACTTTCAGGGCTTAGGTGATGAGGTGGATACTTGAGAAAGGGAAAAATGAATAAAAGCAAGTTGGGGATTTGCAGTGTTGAAATACAGAGGTTGAATTATTTGAAAAACATCAAGATATAAACATCCAGTAGACCAGTGGATACAGAGGTCTTGAAACCAAGAGTTCAGTCTTTGTGGGAGCTGTTAAAATAGGCAGCTCTCAGCTTGCATTAGGAATTAAAGTCAGTTCATGAAATCTCCAAGGAAAACTGAGAGGTTACAAGTACAAAGGAGTGAGGGGGTGGTAAATCTAAAGGAACATCAACAGTTAAAAGCAGAGCAGAGAAAGGAATCTGGAGTGAAACTGAGAAAGATGGGTCTTTTTTTCCACATTATCAATGCTGGAGGAAAGCAGCCTGCAATTTTGCATGATTGAACTCTAAAATGAATTAGAGCTTGCTGGCATGGCACCAGTTCTGAAAAGAGAGAGCAATAATCCAATTCAAACTCTTTCCACAATTTGACTAAAGGTACACAATTTTCTATGAGGACAAAATTGTAGAGAATTATGTCCAACTTATCAATGAGGTCATAATGTGCATGAACTTTTTGTTTATTTTCAAGATTGAAAACAAGAAAGAAATCAGAAGAGCAAAGGAAGGCTTCTCTTAATTTTTCTCCGTATTAGCACAGGATATTCAAATATTAGACGTTCAAACTGTGTTCAATTCACAGAAACAGGTATTTTGAATTAGTTATATTTGGGATACTAATTTAAAATGGCATATGCTTGTTTCCTCTTCACAGCAAAACAACAGAACTTGGTATTATTGCTGACTTGTTCCCTTGCAAGCCCAAGTTACAAAGCACTCACAAATGGTACCTATCTAGCCATAAAATGGATTCTAAATCCATATATCTTTTGCAGAGAAAAGCTCATTTAGTTTATTATTCCTCAGCACAGTTATTTGGGTTAAAGAAAGGTACATAAAGTTAAAAAAAGAAATCAAAGATAACATTTCTCATCTCACACTCCCCTGCACTGTTGAAAGCTATAATTTTTATGTCCTGAAAACTGAGCCCTTTCAAGAAATCTTGTTCAGAAAAGTGGGGAAATAGCTGCATATTTTCTAAGAATTTAAATATATGGATCGGATGAGTAAAGTAGAACAAGAGATTCCATTATTTTATCAGTTTTGAATTTTAGCCAAGCCTGGTTGATAGATCCTTTAAAAATTATCCATTATCATCAAAGTATCCATTTGATAGTTTACCTTTCCAAAAAATCCACTGCTGGTTTCTTCCTTTCAAAGGAGCACTATGCTTTTTGACATGAAACATTCTTTATATAGAAAACATCATTAGTGAATTCCTGGTGAGGAGCCATATGCACCATATGCGGAATTTTCCATTTTATTCCCCATTTACTGGTAGGAAGTTGAGGTCTAATATTCTGAGGTACAGCAATCCCTTCCATTAGAGGAGTAATGGACACACTGTTGAAGACTCTACAATGGTAATTAACATTATATTTCTGTTTAGAAATTTATTTATGCCTCTGTTTCCCCACAAGGAAAACAGACAGACAATAAAGATTAATAAAAGCAATAGTTGCTCACTAGTCCAAGCTTCCGAGCACATTTTTCTCCTAAAATTACATGATAACAGTCATGCCACTTTCCAGCCCATAGGCGAGCATTGTTATCAGTAGTGTATATGCTGCCAGAAATTTCCTATATATTTGTGTATAGAAATAAGTCTCATTTTTTATGCAAGTTTTTATACATCTAAGCTACCATACATTCAAGTGGTCTATAACTTCCTCTTTGAGGTATGCTCACCCTATTCTTTTAAAAGGATGCATAGGAGTCCATATGTGACTCTACCTGAACTTACATAATGATTCCCCTACCCTTGGACCTTTAGATGCTTCCATTGCCATTAAACAAAAACAGGGAACATGCTTCCTGAAACATTATGGTACATGGTCCCTTGGGCATTGTGGAAGTGTCCTTTTATGGCAGAGATAATGAAAATGAAAGCCCTTTGTCCTAGGGAATTAATTTCAAATTGAGAAGGTCTTGCCTATCTGCCCTGCCAGGTGATGGTCCCTCTGCATGTCCTCAAGCAGCATGTGATTGTACATCATCCCCATTGTTGGTTTGTCAAAACCCTTGATTCTCATGGTCCATTCTGAAGTCATCTGCCTGTAGCATCTTTCTGAATGTCCATATGGGGTAATCTCTCCCTCCTCAGAGAATTCTGTTCTGAGAATTCTGTTCATTTGTTCTTTCTTACTGTCACATTTCACACTATTCCTCCAGCTTTGGGTGCTTGTCCTCTCACTTCTACTTGAGTGCAAATTCTTTATTTTTATTTATACAATCACTGGGTACAGTCAGAAGCGCGGGAGGGTGAGAGAATTCACCAGAGCCAGAGCAGGGAAAAGAACAGGCAGATGGACGAAATACACTGCTGAGGGGAGCAGTGGGCACAGCAGGAGAGGTCTGCGTGCCATGTGGGACCCTCGCCCCGCGGCGGCAGGGAATCAAACCGGTGCTGCAGAGGCTGCAAGCAGCTTTGCAACCCAGCACTCAACTGCTGTGCCACTGGGGAGGCCCTTGAGTGCAAATTCTTGGGGGCAGCAGATATCTTGGTCAACTTCAGCAATGAGCATGCGTTTGTTATACATGAGGCATGTTGGAAATATTAAATGCTTGTTTTTTGAGGAATTTTCCAATCAAATATGTAATAGGTTTTTTTTTTTTAAACAGAAAATGAAGTCTATAAAAGGCTAAAAGAATTGAAAGCACACTTTACCTTGGGAGTTTATAGTTTAACCAAACTGGAAGAATGGTGACATAGAATGCTATTTTATTTTTATCTATTAACTTTATTTCTTCCTCCTTGTTTGCTAGAAAAGAGCTTATAGAGTTCACTTTTAAATGCCACATGAAAACTTCTCCCAAATCATGGGTATTTTTTAATTACCTTGAGGGGCTGCCTGCAGTGTCTGACCTAGAAAAGGCTCGCTTGAAGCACATCCAGCAGATGTACAAGCTGTAAGAGTGAAGCTGTAGTTGGTGAATGGCTGGAGACCTAGAAAGAGCAAACAAGAAATAAAGTGCAACTTGAGAGGATTATTTATTATCAATTAAGCACCAGAAGTAACATGCAGAGTTGAAGATACGATATCCAAAAATTCTAAAAGCAGAAAACATTGTAAAGGGATAGGAGTTTCATAAGCAGTTCGGTATTAATAGACATTCCATTTATCACTGATGAAGTAATACATTCTCAGCTTTAGAAGAGATCTTCAGATTCACACAATCCATCTACCCATTTTCCTCTTGACAACCCTGTACAAGATGTCACTCAGGAGGCGTCCTACTACACCAGGGGACTACTGCATCTCCCACCCTGCCCATCCATCTTCAGAAAGTACCAAAGTGCTCCTGATTTTGTTGGAAAGTTCTACCTTATGTTGTGATGAACTTTTTCTATCACTCCCACCCCAGGGACATATAAAATGAATCTAATTTCTTTTCCACCTGACAGTTCTTCAAATACTTGTAGACAGTTATCAATTCCCCCCACCCCAGACTTGTCTTCTCCAGGGTAACTATTCCACTTTCAGCAACTGCTTCTTATATCAACAGGGTGGGAAAAAAAATTCAGATTCAACATTTTTTAGCCTCAAGCCATATCCAGTTCGTATTAACACCGACCAAGCTGAGTTCTTTCTCCCCTGCCCCCTTTTTTTAAGCTTTGCACCACCTCATCACATAAGTTCATAGTGATAGCTCACACTTCAGTCGTATTTTGGGGGGTAGGTTGGTTTTATCGTTATACATAATTTGTGATGGGATAGTGTTTATTACTTCATCTGTATTCAGAATATAATGCAGCAAAGTGATTGCTCAATAAATTCTTGGAGAAAAAAAGAATGATAATCCAAGTCCATTTGTATTCCTGGACATCACCAGTATGGGGCAAATGAGCTTGGACAAGTTACTTAGCTTCTCTTTGCCTCAATCTACCAATCTGGAGAATGGGAAGTCCTAGTTTCTAAGGGTGACAAGATTAAGTTGGTTACTTACAGCAGTCACCAGAAACAGTTATAAGGCTTGACAATATTCAACAAGGAGTATCATTTCTTGTCTTGATTCTTTGAAAGTTCAAACAAAGTCAAAGCTTTAAAAAATAAACAAAGGACTTAGTCTATGTGTCAAATAATTGGGCTGAGATGTAACATGGACCCACTGATGAGTCTACTATTTTTTCATAAAGATTTGAAATGTATCTGTACTTCCGTAAGAGGAAGAGTGAAAGGAAAACTTGGAGCCAGTGGGTGGTACTTAAAGCCAACTCAATGATAAAAGGTGGAACTTTCTGGACTCTCCCCAAGTTCCCTGAATGGGGGCTGGAGGAAGTAGGGGTAGAGTGGAGCCACCACGACCATGTAGAATTGAACAAGACTGAGCATAAGAGTTTTTTTTTTTTTTTTTGTGGGGGTTGGAGAGGTGGCTTCTGATTGCTCCCTGGTCTCTGCTCAGCTGACACTACCTCTGGGTAGGACAGGTGAGATCTGCTCACATTTTCTTCTCCTTTCCCTAGGCTCTTTTCTAACACCATATGTAAATAAATAATTTTACTTTTTTTGTTTCTGTCTCTCTGCTTTTGGGCCTTTTCCTGAATAAAGTGGGCATGTGAGGACCCAAATTGGGTCATCTCCTTTCCACCAGGTTTGCCCTATAACAATTTTGGAGGGGTGACTTCCTCCAGATAGGTCAGGTGCCATTGTCACATTAGGTGGATTTCTGCCCAAATGCTTTTTAAAGATTTTGCGCATTCTATCTAGACACTATACCCAGCACTTTTTATCCCTGTAGAGGGCAGGAAAGGACGGACACAGAGCAGGTTTTCTGATCCAGAAGACCAGGTAAAGGAGGAGTCCTGGAGCCCTCGGTAGCTTTTGCAGGCTTTTATTGGGATTTACCAGGTACATGGCAGATAGGGGTGCTGGGTGGTGGCTAGGAGGCTGGCAGGCCCCCCAGCCCCAGCAAGTCTTCACTCTATCTGGGCTCTCTGGCCTTCTCTCGCGTTCTCTCTGCTTCTCTTATGGTTCTGCTTCTGCTTCTCTGCTTCTGCTGGCGTCTCCGTGACGCCGCCCTTAAAAGCCCAGTCTTAGCCCAGGTGAATCCCATCTACCTATACCCACACCCTATTCCAGGTGCCCGCCATCGGGCATGCATTTGGGACCACAGGGTTCCGTCATGTATCCTAATGGCGGGAGGGTAGAAAAGCCTGCTACTTTTTACCTTACCCTACAATCCCCCAAATTACTTTCTTCCCTCATGACTTTGGACACCCTCTGAATTTTTATTGTGTGCTTATTTATGTTTGTCTTGCCCTCTATGATATAAGTTCTAAATGAGCAAGGGCTTTGTCTTGTCCACCACTGTATACTTCCAGTGATGAAGGATACAAAGGAGATGCTTTTCAATGAATGAGAAAGTTAATTACAGGGCTGCCCCAATAACTGAGCAGTGGTCTGGGCTCTGTGGTGAGGTGACACTGCGCTGTAGCTGGAGCTGCTCAGGGAATCTGCTTCACAGCTCTCTGCATTTCCTTATCAATTTAGAGACAAGATGCAAATACTTATTTGATTATAATCTTCCATTTGGTTGCTATGGAGGATTTACATAATTTTGATATTCACCTGATTTACAGATGGGGACAATGATGAACAATCTAAGCCAGGCCTGAGCTACATATGTTTGATAAAAGTTTAGGGGAAATGTTACAGATTATAAACACAGAAAAGAAAACAGAGGAAAATATTCAAGACTGAAGGTCAGAGATAGCAAGTTGATATAGCCTGATAACCCCCTTTGCTCCCACCACTGTAAAAGGGAGTCTTGACCCTTGTAAACCATTTATATCTGAATATCTTTCACTCTTATTTGGAATATAAGCCCTTTGAAAGTAAGGATGATATTTTTAAATTTTTTTTGGTGATTTTTTTTCCCAATAGTGTCAATTTCAGGGGCTCAATATTTGCTAAATATTGTTCAAAAGAGAGCCAAACCACAGAAGTGCTCCCTAAGGAGGGAGGGGTTTTGAGGCTATGATGTCTCTCACAGGTGGGATCTGACCAAGTAGGTCTTTCCTCATAATTCCATAGGATTCCTGTCCAAAGCACCCATTTCACTGAGTAGGAGAATCTTCTCTGGTTACAGAAATTATTAAAATAATGACAATATTAATTTTTATTTATGAACAATCATTTTAAAATGGATGCCTGACTTAAGAATAACTGGTAAAAAATGAAGCAATGCTGGATTTTTCTCTGGAATATTCTGTCTGGTCTGGTTTCAGATACACAGTGACTGCTGAAGAACATTTTGGCATGGATAGCAGGGAAAGAAGAGAAAACTCACTCTCACAGACTCACACTCACCTCTCTGAGAGGTGTGCACTAGGTTGATGAGAGGATTGAGGGTATTTGCAATGATAGTAGCTAAAAGGAAATTTTGCATACATATAATAGGTGAAACACTACATGATATGCACATCAAAGACATCTTTACAGACACATCACCCAAAGCAGTGATATGAAGGCAAAGACAAACAGCTGGGACTACATCAAATTAAAGAGCTTATGCACAGCAAAAGAGACAATAACAAAAACAAAGAGAAACCCCACTGACAGGGAGAATATTTTTGCACACAACACTAATGATAAAGGACTGATCACAAAAATCTACAAATAGCTGATGAGACTCAACAAAAACAAAGAAAATAATCCAGTCAAAAAATGGGCAGAAGAGTTAAAAAGAAACTTCTCTGAAGAGGAAATGCATCTTACACCAGTGAGAATGGCACGTATTAAAAAAAATAGCAACAACAAATGTTGGCGAGGTTGAGGAGAAAAAGGAACTCTCCTGCACTATTGGTGGGAGTGCAAACTGGTCCAACCACTATGGAGAGCTGTGTGGAGATTTCTGGACCTACTAAACATAGACTTCCATATGATCCAGCAATTCCACTCTTAGGTATTTACCCAAAGGACACAGAAACATCAATTCCAAAGAGCACCTGCACCCCTATGTTTATAACAACACTATTTACAATAGCTAAGCTTTGGAAACAACCCAAATGCCCAGAAATAGATGACTGGATCAAGAAGATGTGGTACATATACACCATGGAATATTACTCAGCATTCAAAAATGATAAACACATGCAATTTGCAGCAACATGGATGGCGCTGGAAGGGATCATGCTCAGCAAAATAAGCCAGAAAGAAAAAGAAAAATACCAGATGGTCTCACTCATAGCAGGAATCTAGAAAACTTAAATAAGGGACCAGGAAAAAGAATAACTATAGGAAAGAAAATATCAAAATCAACAAACAACTATGAACCAGAGACACTCTATGGGGGGTGGGGGCAGGGAGGGGAGGGATTGGGGTCAAAATAAGGGGGTTGTAATAGTAAAAGGAAAATTTTGCATATATATAAATATATATTGTCCTTTCTTCACAAAAACTTTCTGAAAGTACTTGACTTGGATCTATTACTCAGTTGATAATATCCCCTACCTCAGGGAGTTCTCACCTGAACTACAACCAGAACAGGAGTTATCATTCCTCTCAAGGCAGAAAATCAAAATCGAGGCTCAGAGAGCCAAGTACTCACACAGTGAAAGGGTGTAGGAGTTGGGTGGGACATAGCCAGAACTTATACACCAAGCCCTACACCCCGTCATATAAGAGCAACCATCAAGCAGAGACACATTTCAATGACAACCTTCCCTTTGAAGATTAAACAACCTCTGAAAGATGTAAACATGATGGAAACCATTCTAGCCATGTTTAAAATAAAAATATATGTGGAAAGAATTTTGTTCAGACATCAAGTCAACATAAAAAAGTAAAATCCAAACCCAAAGTCCGGGTGTTTTGATGTGGCTCCAATTTTACTCCTCTTTTCAATGGGCTCTGCACACTAATTATATTTTATGAAAATTGCAGGTGTTTTCAAGTTATTAGATTACATAAATACCATACTAGCTAAAGGCTAGCAGGCCCTTAC